TACCAACTGTATATTGGTATAACTGACATTTACTGATTTGTTATTAAGCATACCATCCCCTCATGTACACACTGATACATCAGACAGTAAATGTTTTGACTTACGTGACAGGTGACATTGTTACAGAAATTACATAATTACTGTCCATTTGTAGAATCCCTCAGTGTTTGTCATACACACTGTGGTATTTTCCCAACCAATTTTCTTCTCACAGGACCTATACAATCGCATACGACAGGTGCACATCACGTTAATGACTCTCTTGCATTGAAACTGAAGTCACAGAAATGTCCTCTTCTCTGCAGATGCTGAAATGAGCAAATAACTGCCTTTATTTTGTGAAGTGTGTATGCACTCTGGAGGTGTATTTAGGTGTTGGGGTGGGAGGTGTACCATTACAAAAGTGAATACTGGTATGATGTCACATGGACATAAATTTCGCGTACTGTCATAGGCACAAACAGCTCCATCAAAAATTCAATGTGCCATCCCCAATACAAATAAAACAGCTTAAATAACTCTCATCAACTAACAAAAAGCATAGCATGCCATCTTTTCTAATTATTATATTGTTAGTTATTTTGTTTGTGTGTTTTATTTGCTCAGAAAAATACTGATGTTAGAATAAAGAAAATTAACATTAATGCAGTACATAGTGATTTTATGTATGTTAGTGTTTATTTAAACACTTTCGTTTCCAAATCTCTCCTTGTGGAAGCCCATTATTGTAATTATCATTCAATACCTGGTTTTGATAATGAATGCTTCCTTACATTAGATCAAGGAGTGCTGGTCATGTGTTTGAACAAAAAAAATGGCTGGGGGTGTCAAAGAGAACTCCAGAACCAAACCTTTTGTCAGAAAGCAAATGATGATTTTTTTTTTTATTGTTATTTTTTTTTTAACAAATTGTTATAAATAGTGTTCTAATATTCTATTTTATTATTACTCTCTCGTAATGATTTGGTGTTTTCACAAGCACAAACACACTTATTGCGTAGATAAATGGTTTTAAACGATTTGCTTTGGTACCTAGGACTTTTGCACGGTACATACAACCATATGCGAAAGATGGGTGTCCCTGGTCAAATTATGTAAAAATAAGTTACACACGCATCTGCATATTTTAATGCAGAATTACTGTTTATTTACTGAATTTAACATTGGAAAACAAACTGTGGCTTGTCTAAAATTTATGGCACATTTTATAATTTAATTGCTACTTGCCCTTTACATTGTACCAAAATTTCATGATGAATGGTCCAATAGAAAAGCTCCAAAATTACTTAGATTAAATCATTTCTACATTTACTTCTGTTAAAAGCTAAGAACGTTTTTCTTTCTCTTGTAAAATGACCATTTTGGAGATACGAGGTTTTGTTCTGACAGCGACGATATGTTAAATTCAGCAGATACGTAGAACTTGTGCACTAAAAGATGCAGAAAACATGCCATGTTTAATTTTGTTCCGTGTAGATGTCTTCATTTCTTTTCACTTAGAAGAATTTACTTGGGTTATTTAAATTTTGGCATATGACTGAGTTGGTTTACCATTTTTGTCATTATTGTTATTATTGCTAAAGTGATACAGATTTAAACTTGGTCTTTTTTTATTTTATTTTATTTTATTTTTTTTTAGTATCAAACGTTTAGGCTCAGACTAGACTTGTGGCTGGAAAATTGGAGCAAGAATGCGGTCATTCTGCTGTTTTGTGGAACATACAAATGTTATTGTCCCTTTAGTGAATTGAAATGCACAACACACAGGCTCATATTAAATCCCTGCCTCACAAAGGCAACACAACACACAGAAAACACACAAAGCAGAATTGAGTTTAAAGGGAAAGCTGATAACTCGGGCTTCCCGGCCCCCCCATTGCCTGCTCATTGTGTGTTTACTCAGTAATATAAAGCTGCGTTGTCTGTTGTTGTGAACCTGCTATATGAGATGATTTGTCACATTAGTTAAACAGGCTTCAGCAAAAGCTTATAATTAGCTCTGTCCAGTTCTGTCCCTTTCTCTTTTTGCATGCAATCCTTTGCCATGGTGTAAGCTTGTAAGCAACAGTGTATCTTCAGATATTTGATACCTCACAATAGCTTACTTTCTCTCTCTGTAGGCCCTTATGGATTAAGCTTTTTAATGTATAAGGCATGTACAATAGACAAACATGTAGACAAAAGCAGTTGGGAGTAATTGTGGCAGGTCAGTTTTTGTGTGTGTGTGTGTGTGTGTGTGTGTGTGTGTGTGTGTGTGTGTGTGTGTGTGTGTGTGCGTGCGCGTGTTTTAATGAGATCGAGGTTTTATGAAGCTGCTCACCTGCTGTCTGTAATGAACCCTAAGGGACTCGCTACTGCACACACACGCAAAGATAAAATCACCTGCACCTAGCACCTGCAGTAGTTATTTGTTCTGTGCCGGTTCTGTAAAAGATTGCACTGTCACGCATATATGACAACAATTTCATGCTTTTTTGATGTGAATCCCTGGACTGTGAAACGGGTGAAGTCTCATGTATTCTTTATCTGTCTTGCTCAGTTGTGGGCCTTGAGCATATGACATAATAAATCTGTTTGTGATCTCAGACAGGCTACAAAGCACAATTGCAATTAACCTGCCTCCCTCTGTGCCATTGCGAAGAAGAATAGAAATAAGCCAGCCATCGTTGAGTCTGTTTCTCCACTGCTTGGGTCGATGGGATCGTTTTCTCTGCTCCCAGGTAGAAAGATGGCAGATATTAAAAGGAGTCTGTGTAGCGTGTGGTGGGCAACAGCTGTCGTAGACTGCGCATGTTTGTGTGTATGTGTACATTCTGGCCACCCTGCTGCTTCATTTTTCTGACATTGTGTATGAATAAACAAAGCAGCATGATGCTCTCCACCTGGAGTCTGGCCAAGCTTTGTGGCAACACACTCATACACACATAAGCACGTGCTCTCGCGCTCTTGGATCACGGGCCCCTTAGTGCATATGCGAGATGACAATGAGTTCAGACAAACAGTCCAGAGACAGAAGAGAGGGGAAATGCTCTCTGTGATTTGGGCTCTTTTGTGTTCACTGTGGATGAAAGGAAGAGAGAAGAGGGGGAGTGGTGATGTCATTATTGTGTTTTATGTCAGGTGCTACACAAGCACACATGGATAGGCACACTGGTGCAGGGTTGGAGACACATGCGTGCGTGCGTGTGTGTGTGTGTGTGTTGATTCATATACATACACTGAAACAAGTTATTCGTTTTTTAGTGCTAGCAGAAACCAAAACAGAAAACATATTTAGCAACATTACAGCCTCAGCAACTAAATATAAAGAGAGCAACTACATATTAATATAAAATATGAGCAGCAAGTACATATTAAATGTTTTCAAAGAAATCTGCAGGGGTATTTTTCCACACTTCCAAAGTGTAGTCTTAAAAGTTGGTTCTGTTTTTTTCTTTGCACAATCCTGGTAATCCCAAACACATTCAATGATGTTGAGGCCTGTGGTCAGTCCATCATTCTGAGAACACCTTCAGCTTCTTAGTTTGATTTGCTAATTGTTCTTCTAATTGTTTCTTTTTCTCAGTAATGGCTTCTTGACAGCTACACATCCTGTCAGACTCACAGCGTTGAGATGTCTTCTCAGTGCGTGGGTGAAAAACACCTGTAGATTTTTTTCAGTTCTGAAACAAGAGTAGATTTAGATTTTCATCTGTCTCTCAAAGATAAAACTGTTTATATCATGGTGACAGGTTTTGTGGTCTACCAGGCCTTCCATGGTTGTTGGAAGTTACATGTTATCTTTTCTCATTTTTTGAACTACTATTTTTTTTAACCTTTGATTTGAACGATGAAGGTAGTCTCCTCTGTGTGTGTGTGTACATATACCCTTCCATTTTCTAGCAAAGCCATAACATTTTCATTCTGAAAGTATACGAAAACAAATGTGCACACACGCTCAGAGGGTAGGGTTTTGGTCTAGTGAGGGACGCTGCTCATCCCCCAAAGAGGCCCTTCCATGTGGCTTCTTACCTGAGGGAGCAGGGGCGGCACGCGCACACACAAAGCCTGCAGCTGCTAATGAGCTACTGTTGTACACTTTGATGAAATATAATTGCATTACGGTGGGTAAATAAAGGCGGCGCGTGTTGTCACAGCATATGCTACCCGGTGTCACAACAGGAACAACAAGCTGGAGGTGAAAACCCCAGAGGAGCAGCAGGTCCTGCTCTGAGCCACTGGAGACCCAACTCAGCTCCCCCTCCCTCTCTCTTCCTCTCCTCATTTAGTACTTTGACTCTCCTGCATTCAGACCCCTTGAACTATTTTATTGTATGCTATCCAATTTAAGCAATTTAAGTAAAAGTCTTGTCAACTTAAAAATATGAAATCTGGCTGTGAACTCTGGTGCCCTCAAATTGATTGAACTTAAACTTATGAACCAAGTTGCTTTGTAATTGTAAGTGGACCGATTTTTTAATTATTACAGTGTAGTTATGTACGGTATAGTTGTGCCTTTAAACAAGTGAGGTATATTAATCAAATGTGCATAAAATACTGTATGTATGATTGTTAATATATTGGCATGTACTGGTCCCAGTATTTATTTACATTGTAGGTTATACAAATGAGCCCTCTGACTAATAATGTCCTATTTTGTACTGTAAGCATCTTGACCAATTACAGTTTCAGAAAAGCATTTATTCACAATATTAGTATTATTCCAGTTACAATACTAGTAATTTGCAAGCATTATGCTGCACTTTGACATAGCTTAAATTTTCTGTCCTCATGTTTCTGTCCAGGCTATCCGCCTTTCATTGGAGCAGGCCTTGCCCCCAGAGCCCAACGAGGAAGAAGGAGAGCCAATCAGTAAGCTACGTATCCGGACGCCCAGCGGAGAGTTCCTGGAGAGGCGTTTCCTGGGCAGCTGCAAGCTGCAGGTTCTCTTCGACTTTGTGGCCTCCAAAGGCTATCCATCAGATGAATTTAAACTGCTTACCACCTTCCCCCGCAGAAATGTGAGTCCGGAGCCACACACATTCTCTACCACCATTTCAAAGACCTTGGTCTGGTCAGTCATGAATGAACACAGCCCTCATTCGCTCTCTGCTCTTAACTAATTCTGTAGCATATAATCATCAGTCATTCTCCATGCTGGACTCAAATCGATATTAGAACAGATCCTTGCTGAGACTCAATATCTCTTAATTCCTGTCCATCTGTGGTGCAGTAATTACAGTACTGAGACAGGATTGCTCTCTCTTTGTGCATGCCTGTGTGTGGTGAGCGAGTGTTACAGCTCAGCAGGAAAAATAGAGTGTATAATTGGATAGTTAATCCCACCGTGTGGCTGGAGTTTGTTGCTCATCTTTAATCCCTTAGTGCTTGCATGCGCGCGTGCGTGTGCGTCTACTGTAGGACCCTACAGATACTAACACACCTGTGCATTAATTAAAATCCATGCATCACTAATTAGTATTTTTTTATGTTTTTTTTTTTAACTTCTATCCACAAGTGCATGCGTAATTTGCAGAATATTAATTAGTGTCCTTGGATGCAGGAAAGCGCACTGGCTACTTAGGATACAGTCAGCACATTTCTCCTGTGTGTGAGTGTGTGTTTTCTGGCGTGCTGTCATTAGAGAGCTGGGTGCGCTCGCTCTGTGGCAGGTAGATAACAAGCACTGCTCTTAACGACCTGGCTAATTAACAGCATGGAAACAGAAATGGGCTTTCCATTAATCAAGAGAAGTGTGCAGGCCTGCCCAGACAGCATGCCATCCCTACCCACAGGGACTGGGAGGAAGCGCTCGTGAAAACACACACACACACACACACTCACACACATAAAAGAAAAAAAAAAACACCAGTAACTAATCAAGCAGTCACATTTATTATTATTATTAAAAACACCATAACGTTATCATAACTAGAGATGTAAATAAGTGACCGTTATCTGACAAACAATTGTTTGACCAATGCTACAGTTTAATTTAATTTCCAATAAACACAGTTCCTGTTTGAATAGGTTGGTTTATTGTTCAAGTTGAGGAACATTTTTGAATTGTGCGCATGAAGGAGCAATAGGTAAAGGGTTCTGCTGGATAGGTCTAGTAAAAAATGAAGAGTGCAGCGAAAAATAGTGGCGTTCGTGGCCACTTTTCAAGAGGACTATAGCACAACTGCAGTGGTGCACCACATCAAAAGCCAGCATTCACAAACAAGAAGATGGATAACTATTTTGTTCGTGCTCTCTGAGAGAAAATGTCATGCGCAGCACTGGGTGTTATTATAGAGAAGCGCGGCTATGGCTTTCAAGAGTTAGTGAAGTACATTGAGCCAAAGCTAGCTCAGCCTATTTAAGCTGACTGCAATCATTTTACACAGTCATTAGATTTCACAATTATGCTGCAACAAACAAATTGTGAGCATTCAGATAATAAAAGAAATGCATTCATTGAGACATAACGAGGCTAACTTGGTACTCAGACATGTTTAGAGTGCAGTGCTCATGTTTGTTTGTGTTAGTTGTGATTAATTCTAAAAAAAAATTCATGGAGAATGAGTTTTTAACTTATATTTTCACTCTTGTGAAGAACACAAGAGCTTTGCTTAGCTCTACATATAATTCTGTAATGGTGTAGATATGTTTTGTGAGTGTGTACACGCAACAGTTATTTATGGCAATTAATCATCAGCTAAAATTTCGTGACAGCCCAAATCCCACTAAATATCTCTGAGTTATTTCTGGGACAACATGCAGTTTGCAACAGTCATTCCAACTGAGTGAATCTGAAAGTATGGCAAGAACAGAAATATTACGAGTATGAACCTCTTTTTCCCCTGTTGTTTTAGGCCATTTACTTCATACAAGTGCAGATGTCTGTCCCCTCTTGTCAATGCTACAGTCGACAGTCCATGCAAGCAACACTTTTTCCGTATCTCTGTGCATTAATACAGAATTCAGTTGATGTGTGTGCACATAAGTGTGGCTTCACTCAGGCTTCAAGAGCAGAACTGTGTTTTTAATTGATATAGCTTCCTTGATTTTTAGTCTGATCTATTAATGATTTATTGTTAACAGATTATCAGTCAGAAGAATTTGCCAAAATCTGCATCCCTAGTGATGATAGAACTTTTTCTTTTAAGTTTGTACCTTTCTTACACCATTTGAAAACATACCTTTCCTTACATAATGTGAATTAGGGGTTGGGTATATTATGATATTTTATCATGTTGTGAGAAAATCTTGTGATAATTTATCATACTGTGATGAATTATGTCACAATACCCTTTTCAAAGTATATCATAGAAAAGCAGAAGAAGAAGAGTTTGGTGTTGTATGTCAACAGTGTTAAAATTTTAGAATCTACCGTTCACTGCCCAGTTCATACAGTCCATATATAGAAACTAAACTGCAACACATTTTGAATTCATTGTTTCTGTGATGCCACCAAAACAACACTTTTTCATGTATTCCCCTATTCATCCTACAGCAGTTTAGAATTCACAAGGTTATAAGGAGTGTTTCAGCCTGGACTGCTTTGTGAATAAGTCACTATACAATCTGACCAGTTAGAACACCAGGCCACCACAGGTCATTTACATCTGTCTGAAAGGCACAGTAACCAGAACAGCCAATTTATTTCTAAGGGATAAAAAGAGGTTGGAAAACGATCATGTAAAAATAAATAACGATTGTTTTTGGTACCTAAAACCACACAAATGGCCTAAGTGAAAAATAAAATAGAAGGAAAATGTAGCATATGGGCCCTTTTAAAGACCTTAAAATACTTAGAGTATTACTAGTTCAGTGTAATTAGAAGAACAAAATATTGTGAGGCATACTGTGTATCAGGGAAATGTCTAGAATTTTAATATGATATTTTTGCCATATTGGCCATCTCTAATGTAAACATTTCATTATGAACATTAGTCACAAACGTTTCATCACCAGTGGACCACAAATGGCCCAAAATGACTTAAAATAAAACACAAAGAAAAAAACACTTTTTATATTAATATAGTTTAATGATAAGATTGTTTTTGCTTTTTCTATAAACTTATGTCATCAGTAATATACAAATACTTATCTATATTAATATAAATTTGGAAAAAACATCACATACAGTTCATTCGGAGCTCAGAAACTTTTGTTTAGGAACAGAGGAGAGTTGTGTGTGTGGTAAAGTGTATCCAGTGCTGGAGTGAGTTTGAGGAGTTGAGTGCAGAAAGACTGGCAGTGTTTCTCAGTGTGAACACAGTGCCCAAGTTTAATCCTCTTTCTCTCTCCCTCTCTTTTGCTCTCCTTCCTCTAATTAAAATTATCTCTTCCACAGACTCTCTCCATCCCTCCCTCAGGATTAGAGCATGCAGCACTATTGCATTTGTAATTCTGCACAAATGTTTAAACTTCATCTTGTTCTCTCACTCTCTCTCTCTCTCTTTTGCCCTCCCTTTTTTCTCCTCCTCACACCCGAAAGCAAGCTAATTGCCAGCAATAAGAGTGATTAAACAGAGCAGGCGTAGGAGAGGGAGTGAAAGAGAAGAGTGTTTTGAAATGCTGTTGTTTCTCTCGCTGTCTGTGCCGCAGCGAGGCTGGTGCTTTGTCAGGTCCTGTTTGCTCTCTCCTTCTCTTCGAGCACCTGCACTCGTTGGGATAGAGCTGGAGGAGGGATTAGCACTAGCTTCTGCTTTCTCCATCTATTCATATGCTCTTTAATGCAATGCCAGAGTACCATAGGCCATCATTCCTCATTCTTCCTGTCTTTTAAAGCCGCATGGTTATCTGGATGTTGAGAGTCCATATACACTGCAGTTCAAAAGTTTGAAATTGCTTTTCAAATGAATAGTTTATTTTGTAGACAGAAATTATTAATGTACATTTAGATATTGTAAATTCAACACCAAAAATGTTTTTTAGACAAGTATGTTCAGAACAAGTTAATAAATGATAAATAATATACTACAATTATACATTTACAATATTTTTGTTATAAAAATCTAAGGTATTATAAGTAACATTATAGTTTTTTTTTTTTTTTTTTACATATTCATTTGGCTCAAAGTGCTTTATAATTGTTTTTTATATACTTTATTCTATCATAGACACCTTGCAGTATCTGATATAGATCATGTTAAAAAATAAATGTACAAAATGAGATATGAATTTAAATAAAAGCTAAATTATAGAGATGTTTTAGATGCTTCCTAAAAGTGTGTACTAAGCCTGACTGCCTATTAAAAGTTCCACAGTTTGGAAACATAATAACAAAGAAAAGACTCATGTTTTCTTTATGTAACATATTTGCAGAAATATTTGTGATATGCTTTTTATGATTTTTGTGATTGTTTTAAATTTATTTCTACATTCTTAATGCTATACAACTTTCTCAGTCATTTTAGAATCACCTACCACAACATTCATCTGAAAATATCTAAAATTGCTTTGGTTTGAGGGCTTCTTGCTAATTATTAGCTTCATACTAGTTGTTATTATGACTTCTGTTGTAGAATATACTATATATTACTAGTTAATACCAGTTATTACTGCTAGTTTTTACTTTTCTTCTGATTATTCGAATCCTGTAAAGTTGCACAGGACTGGCATATTAGAATCTGCAATCAGACTGGTTTCCAACTTGTCAATAGTAATTTAATAACAATAATAATAATTGTAGTAATAATAATAATAATAATAATAATAATAAGTAGAAGAAGAATGAATACTAGAATAAAAAGGGCAGTGTCTACAAGTTGTGATTTGACTAAAATTTTTGTGAAAGATCTTTTTGTTCTTAGTCGCTGTCTGAGAATCTCACCGTCCCCTCTCATCATTTCAAAGAGTGTTAAGTTTTATGACTCCAGTGTTGGCCTGAGTTTGTGTTTCTGTGTTTGGCTTGGATGCTGGCCTGTAGTGTGCAGAGCCCCTGTCTCAGCCCTGCTAAAGGCTAGCCAGGAGGCAGGGCCGTGGGCTCTGCCAGGGATCGACACCCTTCTCTCTTCCTGTGACCCCCACT